CAATACATCTTCAAGTAACCCAGTGGAAGAAAATAAAATCACAGAAAAAAAAGCAGCATTATCTGGGAAAAGTCAGAGAGGAGAAAATTCCTCTTGTGACCAAGACTTAAAAAAAAAACCAAATGGGGGAAATGGGGTCTTGAAACCAAGATTAGAAGCTCTGCAGAGAGAGAGTTTGAATATACTGAGGAAGACACTCCTCCACAGGAGCTGCACAAAACAGAAGATCTCTCAGATACCTCATCTGTATGCACATTTTGCTGGTGCCAGGGATCCCAGCACTGCCAATAAAGGGGGGAGGTGTGGGGAGGAGGAAGAGCTCTGGCAAGCCTGGTTTACACAGAATGAGCAGATCTCCTGTGTCATGGGTTGATGTGCCTCATCTGTGCAAGATCTTTGTTAAAAACAGAGTTCATCTGTCCTATGAACTACTTCCCATTGAAAAAATGGGGATTTTTTCCCCCTGGATTTGACTACAGCAAGAGTTTTGCAATACATACAGTGTCCAATCTCTTAGCACCCAAGGCTAATAAGACCCCTGCACCTCAAGATCTGCTTGGATCCAAATCTGGATCAATAGACTTACTTGGGAATATACAAAAAAGGACACTTTGTAACTCAGAAATGGAGTTCTTAGCTAATAAAGGTATCTCAAGCACTCCCTTTTTTGTCATAGCATGAGTATTGGAACACATTTTGAATTTAGAAAACCCATTCCTGTCTCTTATCCCTTCTAGGAGATTGCTAATAAACATCCAAAATAAAATTCATTAAAGACTGCTCAAAACAAATTTTTTTTTGGTAAACTACCAAATAATTTTGAGTAGTGGGGAAGAAAAAAAAGAGAAGGCTTTCTGCTACCATAAAGAAACTATGACACAAGGTAAGTAAAAACAGGAATCCAGATGGCATGTTTTACCTCCTGTAGTTGTGATGTAGCATACGGATACTGCTGGCCCAAGATCTCTGAACACATCAAAGTGGGTTGAACATATGGACACATACTTACAGTACAGCTCTTTGAGACCTAAGGTGCTGCCTACACATCAAAGGCAACAGCTTAATGCTTCACAGGGTGTTGACAGTCTCCCTCAACACCCTCTGTTAACAATAAAATGTGTGACCCTTTAAATTTTTTAAAACCCTTACAAGTTTGACAAGTGCTTAAAATTATTCTTAGTGAAACATCTATAAATTGAGGATAGCCACTTCCCTAATGCAAAAACAATTAATTTAGGAAAAACCTGGTTTTATATTTTAGACCTCAAGCCAACATTTTGAAGCAGTAGTCAGTCATTGTATTTCTATGGATCTGGTCAATGACTATCTGATTAGCTCTTCTGAAAATGAGAAGAATTTAAGTGGCATAACAGAAGCATAACAGAAGCAGTTTCTGCCAAATTGTTCCCTCCACATGTGTTACCAATATCCCAACATGCTTAAATGCAAGTACCATTTTATAAACTTCTAACCATGACCATGTACTATGCTACAACAAAAATTAGTTTGTGTATTATTAAACCTAGTTTACAGTATTTAAAAATGTTAACATGTTTTTCTTCAGTTTTGCTATCAGAGAATCAGAACCCAATTAGACACCAAGTGACAAAGTAAGTTGATGAATGCCACAGGGACTATGGAAGCTCATGTGTAAGCAAGGATCAATTAATAATGAAAGGTTTTTGCTGGAGGTACTGACAAACACAGTTGGGAAACTTGTAGTAATTAAGATCACTTAGAGATAATTCAGCAGCACGTGACGCCACTGCTGCTTAAGAGATGTGATTCCATGAATGTATGTTGTTGAGTAGAGGCAATAGCAGTTGTTGGTTGTTGTAAAGTTGTTTATTGCATGAATACATCAGTCTCGAAGGCGAAGAGTTCAGAGTATTAAAAGTCTGTGCTAAAAACTTTCTGGCATAGAGTCCCAATGTTCCAAGCAGCAGCAGCAGCTTCTTTTTTCCTTCTTTCTTCATGTGGGTTTTTTTCACCCCAATACAGGGAGATTTTATTCATAAATCATCCAATCAGCTAAAAACACGATTCTAACACATTCTTCCTACACCATACTGAGTTTAATTCTAATGTGTGAAAGTAGTGCCAGTTGTTACCCAAAATCTATGTATATAGTTTTATCTTTTTATGCAAATAGTTCTACCTGTTCTATCTAGAAATGCAAGCAATGTTCTACTATGTTTTTGTTATGTCTGGAGCTAAGTTGGTTTTGTAAAAGGTAACACTACTAAACTGTAAACTAGGCTTTAGGGCTTTTTACTAGCTAACACAGTCTCTTAAGGCACTTAAGATATATTTCTACTTACTTAAAACTAAAACTTACACTCCTACTTCATGTCTGTGGCTTAATATATTTCAGTTTCTCTAAGGCTCCAGTTCAATCCCTGCATTCCTTTCTGTCTCTAAGGGACTCAGAGAGGCTTCTATTTCATGCATTCCAACAGTATGTAATGTTAATTTTTTTAAAATTTGGCTTCGTTTTAATAACCTAAAGGATATTTTCAAATGCCTATGTATGTCATTCCTTCTTTCTTCAAACTGAAATCAGTGAAATACCCATTCAGTACCAGTCTTTTCCACATGAAAAACAGCAGAAGTCTAATTCATTTTTTTGGCTGCTACAAAGGAAAGTGCCCCATTTCACTCTTGCCTTTGAAGATGGCATGCTATCAGATACACTAAACTGAACCCCAAAGACAGCAGACTCCTTGTTCTGTAAAGTACAAAATTATGAAAGAGCACAATCATTAGGTAAGAAGGGTAATATTTGGATTGTTAATTGACATTATAGATCACCTTTCAAAATACACCTATTTTACATAAGAATGTTTTAGACATTCAGCTCATTCCATTAGTCAGTGTATTTTTAGGAATTAAAAGGTTTTCAAGAAAACATAATAAACAGGGATGTTTAATTTTATGCAATCATTTCTCTAAATAACTTCTTGATAGAGGTTCCCAAGTTTACTCTGCTTCTGCATTCCCACAAACAAAGGCTGTGACACCTCAAATACCCCCAGAACATGTACCTGCACAGGAGGTGCTTGGTTGCTAAAGCAACTTGCACACATCACAAACATGACACAGTTTGGAAACCTCTGCATTAGCAAATACTTTCAATTAGAATTCAGATCTATCTAGTTAGCTTCTTAAAATGACTGTGTTATTGAAAACCCAGGATTTAGAAGTTACTTGGGGAAAGCAGACAACTGTGCAATATGTGATGCATAATATTGGGTGCCAATATCATATTGCAATATTACGCAACATCAGACAACTGATGTTTCACCACACTAAGCACAAGAACCTGTATATCCTGGGCTAAGTTTCTGTATTTTAAAATTATTTCATTTAAAATATCAGTATCAGGAAACTTCTGTGATCTTAACAGTGCATAGGCTGCTTGTTAAGAGCTGTCTCAGTGTTTCAGAGGAGTGTCTGTCCATGTGTCCATCCATTAATCCCAGAAGTTCATGTGGAACCACTCAGCACTTCTATTTCACATACCATTGTGAGAAAATGCTTCAATATCTTCATTACGTTAAGATTACTATGCAGAGATTCCAAACTATTTATTTAGATGAGAAAAGCAACCAAAAGGATGAGAAAAAAAGACAGTTTCCCCAAGTTTTTGCCTGCCAGGTATTTAGTTGTAGAACTCAAGGGCTTGTACTGAGACCTCTGTTGTTTCTTTCTATTTAGACAGCAATCAATATATACTCTTCTATTTTCCTTCATTAGAACTTTTGTTTGGAAGTGGATCTTGAACATTTTTTTGCTACCTACATTAAGCAATCAATCAGCAGCACAGAAGTACTGCCAATTATCTAGTGAAATCAGCTGTTAAACACTCATGAGGCAAATTACAGCTGAGAAAATTAATGTCCCCTAATTTACCAAAAGATTTCAAGAGCAAAACCAAAACACACCTCCATCCCCCAAATCAGCAGTTTTTTATATAATAGAGGTTATATGTCCTCCTGCCTTTCAAAGAACAGAAGGAGAAGAAAGAAAAGGAAGTAATACCTCAAACCCCAACCAGCCTAAGAACCAACCAACCATAAGGAGATTCCATATACACAAAACTCAAATGAGGTCACTTTGGGGGGCTTCATGATGTCATCTGAAATGAGAATACAGTTACATCATAAAAACTGCAGCACAGCAGAAATACTACTTAAATATTCCTCAGAAAGAAAAAATACATTTGGCAATACAATCAAATCCTGTGATACTATCAAGTGTTTTGGACCTGGGCTAAGTTGTAGGCTTTCTCTTGCTTTTCTTCACAAGCCCTTGGGTTCTTTACACAACCTCCTACCTTTGTAGGGCTGCCACACCTTTCACATGTCCTATATGGGAGGCTGCAGGCTAGAACATGCGAATGTTTTCCTACTACTGTTGTTAAGAGGGAAGTCAGCTGAGACCCTCCCTTGATCCCTCCTTTACCCTTTTTTACATTGGTCTGCACACCTTAAGTTTAGTTTTGCCACTCAGAAAAGAACTGTGTGTTTATAGCACAAAGGTTTTGGTTTATAACAATCAAATATCTAGGAAATAAACCTATAAAAATCTATCCATCTATCCTTCTATCTATCTATCCTTCTATCCATCTATCCTTCTATTCTTCACATTGTCAATCTTCAGGCTCAAAAGAAGTTCTGCACGTATCTTCTTTACTCTTAGGTTAAACAGTGAAGTCTCCACCATTAAATATCTAAATCAGTTCTTTTATTTTCATTTATTTTCTCCCCTCACCTCTCACCTGAGGAAAGTTTCAGGGCATTAGAATTTCAAGAGCAGAAGAACTCAGTGACTAAGAAGAAAGAATACCAGAAAGAGTACTACTAAAACTCAGAGATGTACAATTTTCCAATCCAGAAACTGATAGAGCACGTGTAGCAAGAATGACAAGACCATTTAATCACATAAAAAAACACCAAAAAAATCAAAAACCAACCAACCAAAAAAAAAACCCAGGAACATTTACAAGTGCAATTAAAAATTTATTTTTCTCTTTCTGCATTGAAGTGAGTACATGTTTACACACAATGTGACAAAAAAAAATCATCTGGATACTAAAGAAGTACTAACTAAGATTGCAATTGTATTTTCTTTTATAACCATCAAGATTATCAGCAGGGAAACAGAAAGGAAAAAAATCACATAATTTTGCCTGGTATATCACCCAGCGCCTCTGGTTTTACTCATCCCCAAAAGTTCACTTACAGGACACTTTTGGCAAAAGTCCCTGAACATTCTGTCCCCCTCAAACATTCAGTACAGTTTAAAAAACAGGTTCAGTGGCACTTCAACATGATTTCAGTAACATTTGAGATACAGTGCACCCACACTGCATGCAGTTCACTTTGCTGTAAGGCTGACTTAGACATAAGGCAAACATTACCTTAGTTCTCAAATATGCCATGATTAGACACCCTTAGTACATATACTTCTGTTAAATGCAGAGATGCCTTGATTCCCTTCATTGCTTTTCTTCTGATCAAGAAAGCAATTCAGGGAGATGGTGTGCTTTTCCAAACACAAACTGCAAGGCATTAAAATGTTAATAACAAACAGCAATGAATAAAAATAAACTGTATTCACATATCCAAAACTTATTTCCATCACTTAAATAATTTTATCTGCAATTACAAAATACATATACTTAAATATCTTTTTAAGAAATAATCATCTAAGATATCACAGATGATGATTTGCTTCTGATAATCTAACTGCCCTATCTCTGGCATAAAGATAAACCTGGACAGTGTTACTACCTAGAGTGTTTTCCTATTATAATAAATTTTCTTAAATATACAGTAAATTCTCTTTAACTATTCTGACAGATAGTGCAAATAAAGACATTCTTTGGGTCACAATTTTAAAATATTACCACCATTGCTATCCTCAATTTAATATCGTTTTAGTAAATAAGTAAGAAAATATTTTAAGTATACACATCTTCTAGCATCTGTTTAGCAACACATTTTCCTCAGTTACCTTGGTCTAATGCAGATCACAAAAAATGAATAAGCTACAATACTGCTCACCTATCCAAAAGATATGTTATAGTCATACTTAAATAAATATATTTAGAAACCTACCTATAAGTTTCCTGTTGCTTTCCACGTATTGTAATTATCCAATGACCTACTACATCAAATCATATCAAAATATCTTTAGAGACAACAAGGATCACTTCAGAAGCACTGCTCAAAGGCAATGAAATAATGCTTTGAGAACCTAAGCACATGTTAGGCCTACATAGATCCAAGCACATTGTAGAATACAACAGTTTACGCTTGTTTTAGAGTCAACTACTGCTTTGCCCTAACCAGAGACAAAAAGCTTATCTTAAATATTATCCATCAATGATGTAGCAACACAAAGTGGCCCTGTTTGCTATCTAATGTTGCTTGCTGGCTTTACACGTTTATTTGAAGTCACTGGCACCTGATGGTTAGTTCCATTAGTGTTATTTGTTGCTGAGCCATTCACAACGATGTAATCAACCTTGTTTTCCAATTTCACCAGGCGTTGCAAGATGTCATCCAGAAGAACAGCAATTGTTCTCTTAAGATCAGCTGAAGATAATGGAAAAAACAATTTACAGCCTGTTATTTACTCTGTGTGGAAAAGAACTGCCACTTCAATGTATTCACACATCTTAAGACTTGCTATCCTCCCTACCACACTTTCTGGAAAGGAGTGCAGATTGGTCTAGAAGTACAGAATGAAATTTTTCTTTAATAACATTTCTTTGTTATTTTAGGGAAGGCAGATAGCACTGTAACAGGGAACTGTGAAGGCGGTTGATTAAATATTAGAGTGTGAGACCAAAACCACTAGTTGGAACATTACAAGTGGCTATTCAAAGGTATTATTTCAAATTTCATCCAGACAACAGCATCGAAATACTCAGCTATGTCATGTTTTAGCCCCGGATGCAAGAGAGTATATCTAAATACTTTCCAGCATAAAAAAAGGTAGTTAATGGCTTTCCCCTAAATGACAGTTCTAGCCCATAGAAAAACTGTTATTAGAAGCTATCTTATTGGTTCTTATGTAAGCTATAAAGCAAGGTTAAAAAAAAGTAAAATCTATCTACATCTTCATTGAATGAAAAATAAGAGGAAAGATGGTAAAAAAATTACCATGTTCTGGAAAAAAAACCAGTAACATCTTTCAACAAAAAAACGATTTACACTGTTGCCAATCACCATCTTATTTCAGATTTGAAAAACATTAACAAAGTTACCAGGTTTTTCAAGCTGTTAGATTCCCCCTACACATGAAGACATCTACAAGCTCTGTCTCTCTACCCACTGCCTTCTAATCAGTTCTTAAATAAAGCAGAAGGAGTAGAAGAATCACAGGCATCCAAGTGAAAAAATAGAAGTAAAACAGGTAAAATTAAAAATTAGTAGCAAATTAAATTTCAAATAAAGAAGTACCTCTCTCTAACTAGTTTTTGTTTAGTAAGTAATGTTAACTTCAAAAAAATAAAAAAAAATGCTTAACAATTCAAGTCAGAACAGGGTCTGCTGTCAATAACAGAGGGTGGGACGTACTCTGTAGTATCATTTTCTGCTCAACAGTCTGAGGGAGGGAATTGTCAAGTTTTAATTCTAATGATCAGCAGTCAGATCAAGAGATGACTTATATTAAATTTCAGACAAAACTGCAGAAGACAAGTCTCATTTGGAAATACACTGTAAGACTTAGAGAGAGGAGAAAGCTGCAGTACATGAGGATTTTTTGGGTTTTTTTAAATGGCAGAGAAACTTAATTTATAAATAAATTATAAATAAATAAATAATATAAATATATATAAATAATATAAATATAAATAAATAAATAAATAAAGTCCTTGATGACAAAAAAGAAAAAGGTAGGAGGAGAAAACAGGGAAGAAAAGAGAAGGCAGTCTCCTACTGTCATAAAAATTAATTTTGAGAATGAAAGGATTAAAGTTTTTAACACTTTTTGCTGTCCTACTCCTCTTGGGTTGCTCCTTCACATCTTAGTCAACTCATCACAGACTTGCTTCCTTCTTCCCTAGCAGCAGCAAAAAGACTTCAGGCATGTTTTTGCTACTTGCACTCTCACCAAATGCCTATAAAGGGCATCCTATAACAGGCAGATCCATTAAGGAAATCTTAAGGGTATCAAAGTTCATTACTACACATCTTTTGAGATACTATTTTTAAAAATAAACATTTTTAATTATCTTTTCAGTATTTCAGAAGACAGTAAACACTGGCAACCTATTCATCAAGTTAGGTATATATTTACAAGACAGGCGAATCAGAGATATGATGCACCAAGTATTACAGCTCGCAAGACAAGGGACCTTATCTCTTATGGCTGCTTCTAAAACAAGGGGAGATTCTGCCAAATTCCTAATCGCCTTGCAGTCTCCAGACTGCAAACTCAATATGTTGCTTTGTCATTGCCTTTTTAAGAAGAAGAAAATTGAAGAAATAAAAGCAAGAAGTTAGCAATGAGGTACTAGAAGAATCAGGAATGTTGACGTGACTTAATATAAAATTTTGTCCCTGTGTCAAGCACATGCTTATTCCTCAATAGCTGAAGATTCAAAGGAGGACAAATGTACTGTTACTTCTGTAAGTAACTGTATTCATGTACTTGAAGGGATCTGAAGCTTGATATTGCAACTCATCTTAATCTTCAACTTCTTAGAATAAACTAAAATCAAATCAATTTATACAGAGAGGTTTTTTTTCTGATGAAGAGCATATACTACTTAAAAAAAAAAAAAAATTATAACTTTACAATTTTCAGAAAAAGAATATATTCAAATAACAAGTATGGCTTTCTTCCTCTTACCATATCCTGACATAGAGGCTCCACCACCACCATTCATTAGGTTTTTATTTTCTTCTGCCAGTGCTTTGACATATCTTTTACTGAGATCTAGTATCTGTCCACGCAACTCAGCACTGCTTTGGCGTCTTGGATACTGAAATGTGTAGCGTAGCAACATCAAACCCCAAATGATTCCAAAGACTAGTAAAAACATACTCAGTTTCTGGGACATATTCTTCCTTGAAAATGTTAGAAACATTTCTGATGAAGGCCACAGGCACGTCCTAATTTCAAGAAAAGTAACTGAATTTTGCTTTGTCAAATTATATTACATATTAAACAAAAATAGTATTTTTATGAAGTGAAAAATCTTCTGCCTGGATCATCTTGAATATATCTTCTCATGTTTTAGCTGGTCTTGATTCCTGAAATTTGCAAAGTACCACTTGGTTATTCAAAACTGCTATAGTTATTGAGATTAAGAACAAGTATCAGTTTCCAAATACAGTATTGCATCATCTAGAAAACAAGTTTTCAGTTCCGTCATAAGGTTCAATTCAGTTACAAGGTTCAGCTATATTTTCTTGTCACCTGTTTACAGGGTTTGTTCTTCCTATTTTTACTGATTTTTATTCTCCAAAAATCAGAACTTCTGTGCTTCCACAAAGCACCTTAAGTATTTTAAATACTTGAATTTAAAGTGACATTAAACACAAATGCATTTGAAAGAAAATGCAGCGTCTAGAAGAGACCTGTATAACATTTCTGTACAACATTGTGATGAGTTATTCACATACATCTACACATAAGTTCTTGTAAAATTATTTACTTTTCATTCTTAATTTTAAAGTACAGTGCAAGTGTGAACAGACAACACATGGAATGATGTTTCTTGGTTGGTTAGCTAGTTCAAAGTTTCCTCTCCTGGCTTTGTATACCATTAAGGTTTTTTATTTGTTTTGGTGTCTTACTATTGAATAAAGAGATATAACCAAAATAAATTGGCACATTGCACTTCACCATTTTACTTCAACTTTAAGAAATGTCTTACCATAGTACCCAATTCTGATCCTTCAACGGGATTAAGGCTTCAGAAGGAAAGCAAATGGTAGGAAAGCTTCAGCAGTTAAATAACAAATGTTCAGACAGTTTGAAGCAATTTGAGCCACACATCTTCAGGGATCTCTGTACTGGGAAAAAAAGAAAGATATAAACAAAAAGTGAAGATATCTTCATTTACCTGTGGAGTAGTTGCAGTTGAAGGCTTCAAGCTACATGCTTTTAAAACATTTTCAAACCTACCTTCAAGCACTTGTTATGGGAGACCATAGAATTACTCTCCATTTTATTATGAATGCATGCATTTGAATGCCCAATATAATTCAACATACTTTTAAAAGAAAGCTTGGTAAGAATCTCACTCAGCATCTCTTCTTGTGTTATAAGACAGTGACAACAGACATTCCAGATTCATCATATATGTACATGCACATATATTTACATAGGCATCATTCTCTTACTAATTGTTAACTGTCAAACAGATCCCACATTTTTAGACTCTTTCCATGTGTATACCTCATATTTCTCATTTTTCATCCATCTCTGGCACTACTCCAATTATTCAATATTTTCTGAAAAGAGAATTTCAATTATTTAACATCATACAGATAAAGCTACTCATTTTATACAATAGTTACATTTATCCTCACTATTCCCAGTTCTTCCCCACATACCACCTCACACAAGCATTTTTTAGACTGAAATTACACAAGCAATAGAGTTCCTCACCAGACTTTCTGTATTGGCACTTACGCCTTGGGTTTGTATCAGAACACTGAGACCGAGTTTCTCGTGCTGCTGAGCTCTCATCTAAACCTAACTCTGCCTCCATGGCACTTTTCATCCCCTCCACTGGCCAGTTCCATCGGCCTTATGCCAACACCCTGCTGTCTGCTGCCAACACAAGAGGCACGGCCAGCAGGGCGCCGAGCCCTGCTTGTCGCTTACCCTTCACCTTCACTCTTCAGATAATCCCCTCAACAGGCAAGCCAGCATGCCTGATTCAAGTGGCAAATGTTTTAAGTGCTGTAAAATCAACATGCATATCTAAATTATTCTGAAAATTATTAACCCAAGGCAGGGGCAACATTAGGACTTGGACACCAAAGCTGCCGTAAAGTAACAACCAGTTGAGTGTCTAATGCCCTATGGCAGCCACTGCCAGTACACAAACCCTTACTGCTGGCTGCACTAATGCAAGTGGCAATCCCAAGTCAGTGAGCGAGGAACAGCTCACCCTGCACTGGGGGGTATGACCCTGCACAAGGACAGACAGACAGCACGCAGTAATTTCAACTCCCACTGTAAATGCAGTCAGATGTACTTTGTTCAAGGAATGTGCTTATCCCCCCAAAACTGTTTTAAGATATTAATTTGTCTTAAGTACATAAAATAAGAGGGAAAACAGTAAAAACTTACATTCCACAGCACGAATATCTGTGTGGTTTAAGATTTCCTGAAACAGATCTTCCCCAAACATGCACTAACAAAAACCTCTTCTTCCTAGCTCTGTGCCAAATCCGTGACTCTGAACTCAGACTTTAAAGCATAAACTGTACACACATCAATATGCATCTACATAATCTCTAAACAGTATCAAATATGATGTAAAACATTATGAGGTCCAGGAGAAGAGTATTCATGTGATGGCTCAGAAGACCAAACAGTATTTCTCAAGAAGAGACCACAAGTTTCAAACCCCATTCCCACAAGTCTCTACTTCTTCTATTAAAAAAAAAAGACTGAAAAGAACAGATAGCTCTTATAAAACTTAAATTTAGTTCAGCTCTCCATAGAGCTCCAGCCATATCTCATCCTGAAGCATTTAGACAGTATCACTACAGTCATTTGGAATAGAAGTAACTCTGCCATCACACTGTAAATAAGACCACAAGCCAGGATAAGAGGTCTAGCCAAGTGGAAGAGATTGAATAAACTGCCAGGCAGCAGCAGGAATTGCAGACTGGGCCATCACCATGTATATGTGATTCACAGGGCACACGCTGACTACTGGAACTAATGGAAATCAAGGACTTAACCTGCTGGGAAATTGCATAACACCCACATACTGACACGAGGCAAAGGAATTGGGAGCAAGGTTTACCAAAATGAAGGCAACTATTCGTACTTGTCACTTTTCCTACAAACTTTTAAAGGCCATTCCCCTTCCATGAATTCCAGCATAATCTCAAAGGTCTGGAGATTTGATCTCTTCTTTCCCCCTGAATTGCATGCACTCCTAGTGACTCATAAGACACTCCCTGCAAGACCCTTGGGGCTTAAAAAAGGAAAAAGAAAAAGGAAGCTTGTACCCACATAATTTGGAAGTAGGGAAAAAAAGAGTCCCAGAGCAGCAAGCATACATATTAGGAAGGAAATAGCACAGTAAAATGGATGGATTGGAATATTCTTGTACCTCTCATTGCCCTGAGGGGTCAGCAGTTCTCTACAAGAACATTATCATTTCAACAAAACTTGGACTCAGAACGGACCTTTGTTTTCAGTAATTTAGAGGTAGTAGCCCATAAGATAACAGCACATATTAAAGAAGGTACACTGCCTCTCGTGATCTTTATTCTTCCTCATTATCTAAAAGCACACAATATGCTGAGCTGGAAATCGTCCCTGAGCAGGAAAAAAAAGAAGCTGAGAAATCTTCTTCACAGATTTATCCTGGATAGAAATGCTAGCACACCACTCTCCCAAATGCAGCTGAGGGACTTCTGTGGCAAAGGCAAAGCAGTGCAGAGAGCAACAGGAAAAAACAATGCGTCACAGCTACACCTTGCTGCAATTCCTACCATCTCCAAACATGGAGACTGAGACAAACAAGACAACCGTGAAGATGAAGGAATACAACCAGAACAAAATTTGAAAATCTGAGGAGGGAAAGAAAAGAAACAAAACCCCAAACCAGCAAACCCAAAACAAAACAAAATATTCCACAAAACAAACCCAAATCAAACAAAAGTCCTGAGTAGACTTCAGACAAAATGGCAATCCAAGAATCCATGAAGAAGATAATGTCTTCCAGATAATCCTTTCAATAAGCAGCCTAAAGTAACCAATTCAAGTGCCAGCTTTCAGAAGTATTTTAAATCAGCATAGTACTTTAAATCAGCATGCATATTTAAAATATTGTAAAAGTTACAAGCCCAAGCCAGGAACAACATAAGAACTTGGAGCAAACAACCAATTCCTGAATGAGGATCTGACACTAGGTTTGCCTTCCACAGACATATAAAGAGCTTGGTTTTCTTCACTGTTGCCACTGCTGATTGTCAAAAAGTACTGCCAAAACTTACCAATGTGGATACAACTTTATCCAGTGGTACCACAACACAGACATCCGTCTGGCAAGAAAAACAATGAACTAAGGCACTCATCCACTCCAAAACAAAATAATGTCTCTATTCTGTATTTCAGAATCAGTCATATATAAATTATATTATTGACAGCATGAAACAAAAGGAGCAAAGGCAAAAGAAAGAGCTACAGAAAATGCATTATATGTTCCATAACAAAGGAAAGTTAACTTACTTAAGTAATATCAGACTTCAGTTTGAATACTGACCCTTCTCCATGGAAACCAGCCCATACTTACAAAACATCCTTCTTGAATTTTTTTGCAAAGTCTTCCTCAAATTCTGCTTTACCCATTCCCAGAAAAACCAAGAGATTGTATTAACATACAACATAAAAATTAAATTGTTTATAATGCAAAGGAATGCCTCACACATGCTCTGAAACAACCTCGGGTTATCAGAAAAACAAGGCATACCTAAATCCTTAAAAGCTTAATGCACTTTACAGCACTGCCACTTCTGTTGGTCAATCGGCTCATCAAAGACCAGCACATATTCATCATAATTTTTCTAGCCTGCCCAAGAGACTCCAGCCTTCCTAAACCACTAGAAATGGTTGTAGGGCTAATTTAAACCTGTCCTGTAGAGATGATTTGTGTACCTTCTAGTTTTGAAAAATGTACAGGATTGATGACAGCAATTATTTGTAAGAGAAAAAGAAAGCAGCAGGTCCATAAGGTATTTTTGGTAGCTATTAATAAGCAGTTTGCAGATGCAAAGCATACAGAAAACCAAAGCCAGAGAGAAACCCATTTCATTCAAAGATCAAAAATATTTCTAAGAATAAAGCCAAGAAAAATGCAGTGAAAAGAATATTGTTAACATACAATCCAATAAAGTCACCTATTTGGTCATATGTTTTGAAAGACAGAATCTCAAATATTAAGGCAGTAGTGCCTCAGTGATGTTCTAAAGACCTACACAAGTCTCTAATAAACTCATTTATAATCAACAACAACATGACACCATGCATTCAAGAGCAGGTCTGGCTTTGCAACCGGATATTAACTGCATAAAAAGAAGTGATTTATCAAGACAGAGCTTAAAAAAGAAAAGCCATATACAGTCATAGAAGCGTGCTTCCAATTGAAGGGGAAGTGGAAAAAAATCTTGCAATAGAACAGCCAGCAGACAGAAATCAGGACAGTACAAATAAAAGCTGACATTAATAATTACTATAAAATAATTGTACAGTACAAAATTGGAATTTATTACCATCTCAGTGGGAGCACAAAAAATATTATTAAATTATTAACAATTTAAAATTACCATACTAAAATTACATAGGTACAAGAAATTACTATTAAATTCATGGCAACAAACATCCCTCAGTACAGAGAGGGTACTGTATCAGTAAACAAGAAACTGTCTTTAAAAATGCAGAGTGATACTTCATTGCATTAGCCAACAAACATTTCAGGAAGACAAGAATCACTGGGCATTACAGAACACCAGGAAAAAAATTTCCACAGTAGCATCAAGCTCCATTCTATTACTTTCCCTTTTTTTGCATCTATTTGCAGAGTGCACCCTCTGGCCCATTTACCTCTGTGGCCTCCAAAGAATTTTGTCTCCTAATTTTTCTACAGAAAACTTTGAGCATCATTCAGCTCACTATTCAATCGTGTTGACCATTCTGAAAGCAGACAGGCTGGTTCTATGTTATTTGGAAAACCCTCAGTCCTTTCTGCGAAGCAATGAAAATGGGGAGTCTAAAGAATGACTGACACACATCAAAACAGCAGAGAACATATTCACTATCCAATTAATTTTAGAAGACTGAGACAATAAAATAAGCTAGAAGCCCAGAAGCTCACATGCTGAGACTTTTTGGAATGCCAAAAATGATGTTTGTGTTTGGGTAATTTGCAGTCTTAGATGGCTGTTTGTTTGGCTGTAGGTGAAAAATCTGCATGAGGTGCAGCTGACCAACAGGTGCCCAAAGAAGTGAAGTGTTTACACAGAGCCCTGATTAAAACTGCTGCATAAGGAAGACACACATTCCTCATATTTTTATGAGTACACAAGCTCTTGAGAAGATGCCAATGAAACTACTGTCCTGTACTGGCACATCCATACTGGTGATTGCTGCAGACCAACACTGTACTTTGGCTCCCAGGTTCATTAATCAGGCTCACTCAGACAGCTGTACAGCGCCATGAAAGAGCAGGATATTCCACTCAGAACCAACCATTAACAGCAGTGCCAGTTCCCATACACATTCAGCTGCCTTTTGATAAGATTTACTCTTAGCACCTCAAGTATTCCTACTACTGCTGCTGTAAAATCTGGTCAACAGAAAAGCATCACAGCATAGAGGGAAAAGAGGATAGTCTACTGACAAAACCTCAGCAATGCCTGACAAAACAGAGCCCACCAAAATGTGCTGATGAAACTCAAGGGTCAGACTGCATCACAGATAAGTAGAGACTGTTGATATTAATAGCTGCTAGATTCAAGTGAAAATAACAGTACTATAAAACATGCTGCTATCATAAGAACAGGTAAGAAGGCATACTTCTGGGCAAAAAAAGGGCTGCACTATCACTATGAAGGCTGCTGGGCTGCAGGTTTTAGCAGTTCTGTATCACTTTCAGAGCATGCTGCCAAAGGAGTCTGCTTTTGTGTCTTTTCCAGGACATCTATCTTTATACTTTCTCCTACAGCATGTGTTCCTTCATTCCCTGCTTCTACATGCCCAAGACCTGCAATTACCTTGGTACACTGAAAAAAAAATCTTTTTGCCTTATTGCTAGCTGCCTTTTGGGGAACACCTTCAATGGATATTCCAAGTGAAAGAAACATGAGGTTTATGGGAATAGCAAAAACGTGTAACTACCAAAAATACCTATTCTTCTACAAAGAAAGAAGAAAATCTTGTGCATTCCCAACAGTTCCTGTCTCTCAAGACAGCCAAAGGATATATGGCCAACAAAAGTCACAGCTCATCAAGCAGACACAGTGTTGCTGCTGACGAGCTGCTGGGACTACCTCAGACATATCTTAAACCAGGAACGGTTTTACCTCCTACAGGCTTCTAAGAACAGCACCAATTTGTCTTGTGGATGAACTTCGAGTTGAGAGCACAAACATACTGCTTTAGATTTGAAAACCCACACAGCAAGCTTACAGTGGCTCTGGTATAAAATTATCTGAGAGCCCAAACACTAGACTACCTTTTGTCAGTACTAAAGAAATATTGGAGAGCTGTTTCTATTTAAATATGTGCATTCCTATTTTAATCATTTTTGTTTTACACTTTCTACCAATAATTATTTTAATTTTACATTGTGTCTAAGAAGACTCCTCAAGTACCTAAGAGTATCTTTTTTTTTTTCCAACACCTTCCCCTTTATTTTGCCTACTAGTGCCAGTGAATGCTTTTCAAATAAACCAACCATTTAAAAACAGAAATTCTTTGTTCCTTGCCTATGGGCAGTCAGCCAAGATTCAAGAGTTTGAGAGGGGAAATGGCTTGGCAAGGCTTGTGAAGAAAATTAAAGCAAGCAGCTATCAATTGGGACAGTATATCAATTGGGACAGTATATCAATAACGACAGTATGTTACACCTGCTGAACCTCCCCTCCTCCCACTAGGTCCATCTGGGCCCCAAAACATTTCTACATCTATCTCTGTATCAGATTCTTAAAAATAATAATAGTGAAGAAATATTAAAAAAAAATAAAAAATCTCAGCTTCATTTTCCCTGGGATACTTTTCTCTCTTCATGCTTTATTGCCACCAATCAGGTCACTGTAGTATCCTTGCTCCTTGATAAGTCACTTATGACTGAGCACAAGGCACTTTCTTGGCTTCTCATTTCCCAGTAACACTGCCACAATTTATTAATTGCAGGCTATGACAAGTACCCCCATAGTACTCCCTTGGGAAATTTCACAGCTGTCTTTGTATCTCTCTTTCCAAAGCCCCTGAGACTCCAAAACTTCCTCCTGAGATGATAATGTTTAGCTAATTTTTACTAGTTTTACAGAGAGCCAAGCCTACAACATGATGCACATAAGTTACTGTTAAGAGAGGGACTTTCACTGAACATTTTAAAGAGACCTAAAAGGAAGGCAGATGTTTAAAGAGAATTAAGAGGGGAGGGCACAGACAACTAACAGAGTGACAGCTGCAATGGGGGAGAAATTGCCACACGTGCACCACACAAGCACTGTTCCTGTAGAATGGCAACAAAAAAAAAAGGACTTGTTCCACTGGGGAGAGAGGAAGAATTTAACTTGTCTGGTTTTCTTTCAAGAAACCTGTACAATTCAATCTGAATATGAATTTGTCCAACAAAATTATGTTTCTATGGCAAAACTGCAATACAGATGAGGCTTTGGATTCATGCTCCTTCCCGGTAGGCTGACCCAAGTGAAGATTTGAGAAAAGTAACACTGGAGGAAATATTAAAGACAAGTGATCTTTTTCTACATCTTTTCTTCTACAATCTTATTTCTAGATTGACTTGTCAGCTCAATGTAGCATAATAATGGATTATGACAGACACTAGTTAACTGTAACACCTCAGTGGTATGCACTGCAAAATACTTTATTCTTAACATTGAGGAAAAGGCACCCAGAAATTTAACTGGATTATTTATATCATGGTAGCCTCCTGTTTCTTTAGTATTACTGAAGAAACCAATTTCATTAGAATAAGTTTTACATTCCCTTGTCTAGGCCTCTACTGTCAGGCCCTATTTTACATGGGCAAAGTACCCATTCAGTTCTGAGCAATCCAAAATTAATCTCCTAAATTACATAGGCAAATGCTAATATACCTATTTTTTTGTAAAGTTTTTTTGAAAACCATAGAAGAAAATATAAGAGGCTGTTATTAATAATGCTCAGTTGAGAAAACCCAGCTCATAAAATGATACAAATTATCAATCACAGGTGAAAGAGGTAGTTAAAAAACACAAAACCCAAATAGCATATAAAATATATTTTAGCAGTAAACTTGTATCAGGAAAAACAGATTCATCTGAGTGACTTAGCCTCAGCAATTTTTGACACCTACTCGAAAATGGCTATTTTTGACACTTACTAGTCT